CCCCCCCCCCCCCCCCCCGCGCCATCGTCTTGAACCCGACCCTCGTTCTCATCATGGCTAGTGAGTCTCATCCTTCTAGTCGATCATGACGTCAGATTCTTATATCAGTATCCAGTCATCCTCCTCTTGTTCATCAGACTTGTCTTAATACGCAGCTGGCACGCAGCCTCAAGCATTCAAGTTGCAGGCAAAGGCGCATGAGGACGGCCAAAGGCACGCCGCTTTCGACTGTCGCCTGGCATTCAAGTTTCACAGGGGTCATTCCTAAATCTTCCACTAACACAACACCCAACCGTCGCTGTCTTGCCAACAAACGCCTCATGCACCTTGACTTCCTGACGTGCCTCCGACTTTGAATGACTCTCTCCTTCGAAACTTTCCAACATCTCGAGGGAGTCTAAACCTAATCGTGGTTCCCACTTTTTCTATACGTCCGGGATGTTCACCATGCTTTGGTACCCTGACTGATAAAGGGGTAGAAGCACGACCCTCTAGGTAGCAACTGATGGCAAATGCCCTTCTGTGCTTCGAGCCTCGACGCAAAGCGTGATTCCAGGATGATGCTTAGCCAGCCTCACTTTGGATCTTGTTCAGGCACAGAATTCCCAAATAAGCTTAGGGACAGGGATTCTCGCTGACTATCAGAAGCAGAAAAAGAAGGTTCTACGGCTCTTCACTTTATTTGTTACTACTATTTCCCACATCATTGTTACACTGCTCTTAGTGGTACGAGCGAGTATTCCCTTCAAGACATGCATTTTGTAGGGAAATAATCACTCGAGGAAATTACTTGGACTCAGTCGCGAAACACCAAGCGGGCAGAACCTGAGCACTCTGAATCCGGCAACGGGCCCAGCGCAGCCCCACTGCACGTGCCCAGAGCCTCTCTGCCTTCGGCCGAGCAACTTCAGCAAGCGCAGCACGCGCATGAGCCTCGGGTTCTGCTTGCGCTGGCTCATGAGGACCAAACTCAGATTTGTTCTGTGCGTGAGCTCACATGGCGAAGCTGTGTTTGCAGACCCGATTCGTGAGAGAAATGGAGACCATGATTAGCTTTATTTGTGATGAAGCTTCGTCTTGGACAACGCCAGCCAGATGCCGTGAACGCCAACTGACAGTGTTGTATATCAGCTCCCAAGAAAGCCTTCACAATCTTCGAAAAGCTTCATGAGTCATGCTGTTGAATCTTTCAGCAGTGGCAAAGCGTACTAGAAAGGCAGCTGCAGTCGCATGCGCAAGAAGGCCTCAGTGGATACCGAGCGGCCGCAGAATGCGCACAGCGCCGACGGACTCGCTTCCAAGCATGATGCCGACGTAAAAGGGAACCTCAACGAGTACATCTTATGTATGGGTAGTTCTCTAAATTGGGCGCCCCTTTTAGATCCCAAATATCATGCGACACCCCTTAAGAAAGGACCCTAAAAGGGACTTTAATTTCGCTAACCACCCTCATATTTTGTGGCTCTCTGCTCTCATCTTTTTTAAAGGTTTAGAGGGCTACAGCTTTGATGCACTGACATAGGGTTGATGATATAAATCTTGCATGACCCATAATCAGGATTTATATCATCAACCGAAGGGGTGTACTCAGATGGCTCAGGATCCGAACTACAAGTAGGTCCCTCCCCCGAAATCACCATGCCAGGGCACGATGGCAGCCAAGTCAATCAAATTCAATGTCGTCGAAGCCTCCGCGGGCGAATGTGTGCAGAATGTGACTCTAAAACCATTCCCTAACCCCCCAAGTACCTACTATATAGGGTACTAGAGCCCCTAGGGCCCTATATAGTAGGTACCTGGAGGGTTAGGGATCAAGCAGTCACACTTCTGGTCGCTTCTGGTCCAATCAGATCTTGGAACGCTTGGAGGACTCTCAACCCAGACTAAGGTCCTTAGGGCTATACAGGGCGTTGAGGTCCACAGGGGCGGTGAGTAGATGTCTGCCTGCAAGGCCTACTGTAGGCAAGAAAAATCTGAGGATGGTCGGGCTACCTGATGCTTGCACCGCAAGGCATTGAAATAAAGCACGGGCAATTTTCACGAATGAACTTGAGATTCATTGTTGGGCTTGATCGGCAGTCGCAGACTCAGTCCATCTCAGCACTGAGGGCCCTGCGTAGCAAGCTGCCCTGATGCAGCCTGACATGCAGAGCTTTGGGAAGAGCCGCCTTTGGATGCCTTTGGGGCTTTACAAGTTTCGGCTTTGGGGTTGAGGGGTCTGCACACAATTACGGCTGTCAAACTCCTACCCCGCTCGCTTCAACGAGACCTTTCCCCGCACGTGCCGTCAAACGAGCAGCGAAGATTAACAATCATCATCATGACAAGACGAATGCAATCAAAATGGTATCGGCCAAACAGCAAACAATGTGACAACAAGAATGAAAGAGCAAACCGACGCGACAAGAAACAACGCAGTGGGAACGGGCTATAGCAGCAGCGAAGATCAGTGGCGACCCCATGCTGACCATCACTGCTCTTACTAGTCTTACTTTGATCCAAGCAGCCGCTTGAGCCAAATTTCGGCTCAGTACACGACGTACATATCCTCGGCACGACGAGGCGTGGAAAGAATCCGAAGTCAAATCCGATCTTGAAGATCTCGCAAGGTTCGGAGAAATACGTGCAGGGGTAAGGTTTCGGGTTTGAGGTTAAGTAGGACTTAGTGGGCACAAGGGCCAAGATGACATCTTCCGATAAGTTTGAGACCTCCGAACCACCAAACGAACATGAACATAAACGTCAAGGCCCGAACAACAAGGCTGCAACCTTTGGCATGAGGTTTCCTAATTAAGTATATAGGGCAGCAGGAGTTTTTCATGACGCCTCATCGGCTCGGTAGCTATGGTCTGCAAAGTTTCCCTTCACCTTGAAATGTCGGCAGATCAAGTTTTCATGTGAGGCGCCAGAGCTTGTGCTCTTTGTTCTGAACATGCGCGACCCTTTGCAGACACTTCTCTCGGGAAACCTCCGCAGACCGTAGATATTGAAATCGCTCAGGATGGTGAGCACATGGGCACTGGAACTAAGGGTCGTTCACAATGTGGTGCCCCCTCACCCGAAGCCTTCACAGCCATGAGCCGAGCCCTATATGAGCTCTGCCCGCTTGAGCTTGGGTTTACGAGCCGGATAGAATCTCAAGGCATACTACGAAGGTCTGCGTCTGGTCGTCCACGGCTTTTCCAAAATCCCAGTCGTCTTGTCCTCTCTTCATTCTCAGGGACTCTGGAGCTTAGAGGGTTCATAAGAGAAGAGGGTCAAGTCTAGGGTTATGCAGTCGCAGGAAGGGCGCTGGAACGTTGGAGTTGAGATGCATGGCTTCGTGGCTGGCAGGCGTAGAAGGGGACTTCCCTCATTCTCCGCGTGCCTCTCCGGCCGACAGCTGCAGCTTACCATGTGGGTAGTTCACTTAGGGTACCTTTTCAGGTCCCCAATATAGTACGGCACCCGTATAAAAAGGACCTAGAGAACTGCCAATGTGCTTCTCCACACCGACCCGACCCTACTGAAGAAATAAACAAAGAGGGAAGCCTCAGAAGGATTTATAACGGTAGGAGCCCTATCATACGGACCCCTAAAATGTGACAGAAACCGAAACCCCAACATGCCAGCAGTCCGGGCGGAAGTCCACAGATGTTCTTTTCGGAGAAGTCGTGTGAGACTGGGCCGCGCGGCTTCAACTGCTTCGCCGCCTGCTTTTCCCGAATCCAGTTCAAGCGAGGCTACTCTGAAGCCTGGGAGTTAGAGATTTAGGGTTTGGGTAGATCACAGTATATCAGGCCTAAGAGGGTTTAAGGTTTTAGGCGCTACGACTTATGGTTTAATTAGGTATGTTTAGGTTGCTACTTCTAGCAGGTCTGCTGGAAAACAGACCCACGGAACTCCCCCCCTCCCCCCCACCTTCTCGCTGCCCACCAAAAGCCGGAAGGTCACTACGGGCTTCGCCGCGGCGTCGGACTCTGCCATGCACCGCAGCTGAATGTTCCCTCGACCACGCGACCTGGTGGTCAGAAGTGTTGGCGGCGGCTTTGGGCGTCGCCGTATAGTGAGTATACAGTGGATTGATTCGCAGGTCGGAGATCGTGGTTAGCAGTAGCAGGAGTAGGGCAGTAGGCAGTGGTGGCGGTGGTAAAGCAGAGCCGAGTAGGGTAGAGTAGCGTAGGGTAGAGTAGAGCACGACGAGTAGGCCGAGGAAGAGGAGGAGGATAAGCAGCACGAGCAGCAGCAGCAGCTGCAGCTGCTGCAGCAGCCTGTAGCAGTTGTCGTGATCACCATCGTCTTTTGTAGTCAGGTTGACTGGAAAGCAGGATCCTGCTACTCTGTGCATCGCCGCGCTTGGACCAAAGCCATACGGGAAGCCCTACGCCCTACACTCACACTATGCAATCGACAGGCGGACAGGCATGGGGACCGAATGACACAGATACGGAAGGCCCGAAATAATGTGGATCGAGTCAAAAGAACACATAGGAAAACTCACCCACTGCCAGCAAGAATTGTGTCGGCAAGAACCACCAGACCGGCAACAAAAAACACTAGCCGTTTAGAGGATGGGCCCTAAACTTTAAAGGCCCCCGGGCCTCCGGAAGGAAGCCCCACCTCGTTCTTGCGCGACCACGCGGGGACGCAAGATCATCCTGAGGATTGCTATCATTCACGGTTGCTCAGGGGCGAGTGCAGTAGCAAGCCGAGAGTCTTGAAGGGAACCGGCTGTCCGCCGGCGAAGGTGAGGTCGAAGGGCGGCGAGACGGCCTCCTTGTCGGTGCTCCGAAGCTTCCGGGCATCCACGGTCCACCGGATGCGGTAGACGTTGCTGCTCACGCTGAAGGCCCGCTGTAAAACCTGTGCTCTGTTGTTGTCGGCAGTCGTCGTGACGGCAATGGTGGAGACGGAACCATCCAAGGCCGGGGGCATGCTGTCCATGGCCCCTGGAAATCGCGAAAACGGGTCCATGGGAACGGCGAAGCAGCCGGGCATGCACATCTCCGGAGGAGGTACCGCCATTGCATAGCTTGGCATCACCTGAACGGGACATGAAACGTTGAACTGGTGCATCTGGTCGTAACCCGAGGCTTTGGTACAGGATCCGAAAATGGCGAGTAGATGGAGCAAGCGAATTCTCGCTGCTCAAACTTGGCCTAGCTGTCCTTGGCCTTAAACTCCTTACCCCTAGGATGGCCTCCTGCGGGACGAACATCATTCCAACGGCACCGGACATGACAGGTGTTTCCTCTGGAATGCTCTCGACGCTTTTCGGATCTGTCGGAGCCTGTGCGGATTCCTGGGATTCCATTCCTTGTTTGTACATCCAGTCCCAAGCATTCCCTGACTCCCAAGCATCGAATGTCATGGTCTTGTAGATGGGATTGCTGAGCGCTTCAGCTTGTTCCGACTCCTCGGGATCTTCCTCTGGATCATCTTCGGCACCCTCTTCCCCATCATCGTACGCTGAAGCAGGTGCCGGTGTGGTGCTCGACCGCGGCAGGCCCGCAGTGGCCTCGCTGTTATCCATCTCCTTCGTGGCCACTGCAACAGAAACTACGGAAGCTTTCAACTCCACGGCCCAACAGCAGCACCCCTAGACCGCCCCCAAAAACCCAAACCAGAACCCAAAATGCTCTTCAAAATCCCCCTCCCCCCCCACCCCCCCAAGTCTCCAGAAAGGTGTTCTTCACAAAGATCGCAGGGCCCGGGCCGAGGTTTCCCGGCATCTTCGCTGCCGCTGCGGGCACTGCAGCCGGGTAGCCGCCGGAACCCGAAGCCTTCAGGGCCCCCGTTTTAAAGGGGTCGCAGGGTTTAGGGTTTAGGGTCGCAGAGAGGGTTCCATCATATCCTTTAAGGTGTAGTCTAGGGTACTATTATTATAGGGTACTACTATAGGGTTCTATAATAGGGATCCCCTCAAAAAGGGTGGGCCTTGTATCAGTAGCATCAAGACTTGCCTACCGTCCACCCTACAGCCTAACCCCTAAGGCCTGAAACCCTATGTACCCTAAGCCCTATATACCCTCAACCCCAAACCCGAAAAAAAAACCGATATAATGTACCCTAAACCGATATACCCCCCATTCCCGCCTTCTGGATCCCCTTCAGAAGGCGCTTTCTCTCCAAGGGCCTCAGGGACAGAGCGTCGGCAAACTCCGGAAAAACGTCTGGCTCGCCGATCTCCTCGGTCGCCACTTACTCTATCTATCTATCTATCTATCTATATAGATATAGATATAGATATAGATATAGATATAGATATAGATGCTACCAGAAGGGCTACCAGAAGGGCTATCAGACCACACGGCCTCCTAGAATGGGCCTGCTTATGGGCTCTTCCAGCTGTTAGGGTTTGGCTTGGTTCTCCTTTCGGTGGTTCGGAGCTCTTCGACTCGACACACACAAAGAGGAGCCCTAAACAACTAATATGGGGGGCCTTAATAATTAGAATAGGGTTTTTGGGGGTTCCTTATTATAAATATGGTATAGTGGGCCCCAAAACCCTATTCTAATTATTAAGGCCCCTATATTAAATCCTAAAACTCTGTCCTCCAGGTCCCTGGGGCCCATCTGCTCACACCACTCAGCAGCCGCCTTCGTGCAACGCTCGAGGCCAGCCGCCTGCGGGGTGAGGCATTGCTGGTGCAGTGAGAGATTTGGGGGTTTAGGGGTCGTAGAAGTAGAAGGTAGTAAAATGGAGAGGTGAATGGTTTGCATGTAGTAGTTACTTATAATGTCAAATCATCCGTCGAGAACGTCAGAAGTGAGCCGTTAGCTGGTTCTGTACCACTTCACCTGCGAACTGCGAACCTGTGAAAGAAGTTGCTCCCCGCTTCCGAGATTCGTTTCCAGCAGTAGACATGCGAGAGCACAAAGCTTGAATGTGCGGGCAAAGCCCTAAGCCTAGCTGATACGGATGAGGCTCTCAACGGTACGGACCGTCCAGCGTCTTTTCAAAACCCTTGTTCATACTAGGTTTCTGATGTACCAGTACTGCGAGTTGGCCACGCAATCTGTTTGAGAACGGCACAGCTCTGAAGAAACACCCTCAACCTCGAGCGCTAGAAAAATCCCAAGTGCCCTAAAATCCCAAGTGCCCTTATGGAATCCTCATAGTACCCTTCTAGATCCCTCACTATTTCTATCCTTAAACTCCCCAGCAACCCTTCCCAAAGCCCCAACAAAAACCCTAAACCGTAAACCCCTAAACCCCTACATCCCTAAACCCTAAACCCCTAAACCCTAAACCCTAAACACCAAACCCCACAGAAGGAGCTGCCTGGAGTTCCTCCTCCAGCCCGGGCACCGACATCGCCACAGGGCCGGCTCTTCGAGGCTCTACGTCTTTGAAGCCGGGGGCCACTATATGAGAGGGGGGCCATAAAGGGAGGCTATAAGGCAGTAGAAGGGGGACCATGAAGGGGAAGCATGAGGTAGTATAAGGGGGGACACTCTGAGAATGCCTGGTTAGAACTACTTTCTGTGCGGGTAAGCTGTTATGAGTACTTTGACTGTTGCATATATACGACGGCTCTTCTAATGTCTGTTGCGGACTCCGGAAAAGCATCAACAACAACCAGAATCTATTGTGGACATGTAGCGCAGTATAGTGATCTTCCTGAGTTGGACCGCATACCGGCATACCATCTTCAAGCCCAAAATCCTGCGAACCATCAAGCATGACATGCCTCAGCAGGCCGGCAGCCACAGGTTTGGTCAAAGACTTTGTTGCGCTCAAGCAAAGCCCTCAAACCATCTTAACCTGAACCAGAGTAGCCAGATGTCGGCGCCGAGGCATGAACCCGCAAACGAGTCCTCATCGAAACCTTCTGTTCTCTGCCGTCGCGGCCGAAAGCTGCTTGCAGGCCGAGGCGCCGTACCAGATATTCGATCGTGAAAACGGCTATGCAGACTGCCTGGCCGTCGCAAGGCACCCGTGAGAGGCTCAGAGGCACCGCCTTTCAAGGCCGCAGCTCGCCGCTCTGTAAAATTTAGAGGTTCTACTATAAGGGTTCTACTATACGGGTATCTTTAAGGGGGTACGATAAGGGTTCTACTACAAGGTATCATGAGGGGTTCCTTCCATTGTAACATAAATTACTACAGGATGCTATACTAAGGGGTACTTGGTACTGCAGGGGCTACTGCAAGGTATGATAAGGGCTCCTTAGAGCAACTGTAGGGGTACTTGGGAAAGTCAAGGTGACACGGGGCCAGATCGCAAAAGCCTAGCCTCTATAAAAAACCTAAGCATCTTCATTTAAACCTCAAATCCTATATCCTGCATTCTAAACCTTCAATCCTAAACCTTTCACCCCAACTCGGCTCAACCCTTTTTACCCCTTTTTTCCTGAACCCTACACCCCACCCTAAACCCTAAACCCTAAACCCTAAACCCTAAACCCTAAAGGCCCTCTTGCCCCTTGAATCCCCTGCGCCTCGATGGGGCTAAAGAAAGCCATGGGAACCTCGAGTGCTCAAGGTGAAGGGAAGATTTTACCATGGATCCCTATGATGGTAACTTAATTAACTTATATCCCTTAAGTTAAGGGATATAATTCAATTAAGTTGCCATAATAGGGATCTATAGTTTAACAAGACCTCAAAATAACAAAGCTGAAGGCTACAGTAGGGGTGGAAGAGGCTACTGATCCCAACCTTCGCACGACGAACAGCAAATTATGAAGGGGGTGCACCGCACTTCGAATCACGGCCTGATGCCTGAAACTTCAACCCTCAAGTCGAAATCAGCAGATGCATGTCAAAAGTGTTGGTGGCCGTATCAGGATCCCCATCTCTATCTCAAAGGCTGCTGCACTGTGAGTTTTGATAAGGATGACACGCAAGAAGCCTTCCCCCGCCTAGGCTCGAAGCACATAAGCACAAGCACCCCTGTGATCTACGCTTTTAGGGTTTAGGGTTTAGGATCTCGTGCTTATCTTGCTTCCATTACTATGGGAGCCTTCATATGACTCGTTACCGGGCCACTACGGCTCTAGGTATTTCTGAAAGAGCACCAAGGGCTCCCCAACCACTGAAGGGCTGTGGGCCCCCGACCGGCTCGCAGGCCTTCGGAGATAGTGCAATAAAGGGCTTTTCACTCGCTTGACCAAAGTCTCTAGCAGCTTTCCAGGGTTCCTTGTATTATTCACGGTGATTTCATGGTGGGTCCTCTCAGAATCGCAGGCCTTTCGTGCTGCGGGGAGTGCTTAGTTAGTGTTGCAGGCTCGATCTGGGGCAGTAGCTGCGCATACAGAAAACAGCCTTAGCAGCCTTAGCATTTCTTCCCCAAACCCGGCAGTAGAAAAACACATGCCGGAGCCGACATTATGACGAGAACAAGACTCTACCATACATCTGCCAATCTTCACCCTCCTAACGTCTCACCTCCGCTGTTAGTGGCTCGCCAGCGGCTAGCAGCTGCTCACCTTGCAGGCACAAGGAGGCCCTAAACCGACAAGCCGGGCTCAGGGTCCTTGAAGTTCCTTGGGCTGTTGAGTGGGATTGCTGCTGAGGTTTCAAGGGGTGGGATAACCGCCAGGAATCCCGAAACACCAAGCCCGAAAATCGCTTGAAAACCACAAGGAATCCCCCAGCTCAACCCCAAAGCCATTAAGCCATTCTCTGGACAAGGGGACACTTTGGTGACCTTTCCTGGAACTCTGGCATCGACTCCATGACGAAGGTCACAGTGCCTTGGGCGTAGCTGGAGGATTTGGGGCTGTATTCGGCTTCAGCGGGTTAGTGGTTGCTTGTACATCGGCTGCGGCAGCAGCAGCAGCACCACCACCACTACCACCACCACTACCACCACCACCACCACCGCCACCACCACCACCGCCACCACCACCCACCACCACCACCACCACCCACCACCACCACCACCCACCACCACCACCACCACCACCACCACCACAACGGTGGTGGTTTTGGTGGTGCCGGCGGTGGTCGTGGTGATGGTAGCAGTAGTAGTAGTAGTAGTAGTAGTAGTAGTAGCTGCTCTCAACATACCTCTCTCAGACGCCCAAGGGAAGAGCTCGACTACAGACACCCTCAGAGCAAAGGATACACGGTTAGGGTTTAGGGGTATAGGGTTTAGGGGTTTAGGGGTTTAGGGTTTAGGGTCTGAGGGTTGGTATCATGTTTCTGCACATCAGGGTACTCCTAGGTGCATACTTCAATCAGAGTTGGATCCGCTTCCAGCGGCCCTAGCCTGCGTCAAAACGACCCTCATCTGCAAGAAGGAGGCTGATAATGATCGTGGTGACCATCATTGCCGAAATCAATGTCCCCACCACATATTTCCTTGGCTTTCAGAAATTTCAGGGCATGGAAGGTCTGAGGCTTGAGGGTTTGCGGAGTTTGGCGGCTCAGGGGTTCCGGCCTCCTTGAGTTTTCCAATCCTCAAAGCAGCTGTTCAGGATTTTGCCCTAAATCCTACACTTTGAGGGTTTACCCTAGACCCGAGACCCCTAAACCCTAAACCCCTATAAACCCTAAACCCTGTAGCGCGTAGGGTCTGATTTTAGGAGGCCACTGCCGAGTTAGGGCGAATTGAAACCCTAAAACCCAACAACCCCTAAAACCCAACAACCCCTAAAACCCTAAAACCCTAAAACCCCTAAAACCCTAAACCCCTAGAGCCCTAAACCCCTAAAACCCTGAACCCCCAACGAGTCGGGCTCGAAGGGTTTAGCCGAGCTTCTCCGAGTTCTCGAACCTTGGCACAGCTGCAGCAAGTTGCTGGAAGAGCTGCTAGGGGGTTTTTATAAGGGTTTTTTTTTGGGGGGTTTCTTAGCGGTTTTTGTAGAGGGGTTTTAGGTTTTTGGGGGGTTCAAGGGCTTAGGGGGTTTAGGTGGTTTAGGGGTCTTAATAGTTAGAATAGGGTCTTGGGGTATCATATACTATAATCATAATAAAGGGTTTAGGGGTTAGGGGTTTAGGGTTGGTCGTCAAGGGGTTGTCAGCTGTCCCTTGTTGTGAACAACTGGCAATGCTTTCTGGGGTGCAGCAGCGCCCCAGCGGTTCGTGGTTCAGGGCGGAGTGCAGCTGCTTCAATGCACAGCAGCAAGAAGCGGCAGTCAAATCTGAGAGCCCGACAGTAAAAATGTTCGTCTGAAAATGTTGCCTTCATCCTGCGGCAAGGCTTGCTGTCCCGGCAGGTGTGTAACTAGCGAAGAGCCAACATCACAGCAGATTGCAGGATTTGCAACGTAGGCCCCGGTTGTGCAGGGCCACAGAGGCACTGAACAGGCCCTCTTAGCTGGTTGTCGCGGGAAAATATTTTGACCCCCTTTCAAAGGGCCGGGACGAACAGCGGGAAACCGAGAACAACGACAAGGCATTCAGTCGCCATGGCGTCTTGAGCTCCGAAGCACATGGGAGGCCGAATGATTGGGGGATAAGGCTCGGGGGTCGGTTTCGTCTTCCATCGTGTTTCGACATGCCGTTATCGGGATTTCTAGTGGATCTGACTGGTTTTCCGTGAGGCTTCCGATCCTCGAGGTGGAGATTATCGCCGGCCATTTCTGTGGAACCGTGGTAGTAATCATCGAAGCGCCTGTATTGCA